GTGCGGCGCTGCCTGGTTGGCTTGGGCTGGTGTGGTGGGATGTGCTGACCTACATCTGCTCGCTGGCAGCGGCGTGAAGCGAGTGGCTTAGTTGCACATCTCAGCTGTGCGCTTGGTGATGGGACCAAAGCGGGTCCCAGCAGGCAGCACCAGAAACTAGGAGAGGCTCTGCGCTGGCCCAGCACAGCTTGCCATCCTGCGTGGCCCCAGCAGGCATGTTGATGCCAGCTCCACCAGACAGCTTCCTTGTGGGCTTCCCATTCAACGTCAGTTATGGGTGCACATGCTCTCCATTACATGCCACGGGAAGAGACACTGCACCAGCACTTGCTGACACAAACAGTCCTACAGGGACACCGGGCTTGGCTGCCTGACACTGAGCTTCCATCTGCTTGTGTGATTAGGTCAGATACTAAGATCAGAGGGAGGATGGATCTTGTCATACCTGAACCTGCTTGTTCTTAGGTTCATTTCGAGGTGTGAAACAACACCCCAAAGTAATGACAGTTTGAAGAACCCTGTGGCTGCTTTTCTGTTTCTTAAGGGTTTGAGGCTTAATCATAGAATATTTAGGGTTGGAAAGGATCATCTTCCAACTCCCCTGCCATGGGCAGGGACACTTCACCCTAGACCATGTTGCCCAAGGCTCTGTCCAACCTGGCCTTGAACACTACCATGGTTGGAGCCTTCACCACTTTTCCAGGCAACCTGTTCCAGTGTCTCACCACCTTCACAGTAAAGAACTTCTTTACATCCAACCTGTAGTTACCCTGTTTAAGATTGACCCCATTACCCCTTGTCTTGTCACTAGAGTCCCTAATGAAGAGTCCCCCCCCAGCATCCTTGTAGGCCCCCTTCAGATACTGGAAGGCTGCTATGAGGTCTCCATGCAGCCTTCTCTTCTCCAGGCTGAACAGCCCCAACTTTCTCAGCCTGTCTTCATACGGGAGGTGCTCCAGTCCTCTTATCATCCTCGTGGCCCTCCTCTGGACTTGCTCCAACAGCTCCATGTCCTCTTTATGTTGAGCACACCAGAACTGGACACAATACTCCAAGTGAGGCCTCACAAGAGCAGAGTAGAGGGGCAGGATCACCTCCTTTGACCTGCTGGTCGCGGTTCTTTTGATACAGCCCAGGATACGGTTGGTTTCTGGGCTCAAGCGCACACTGAAGCCAGCTCATGTTCAGCTTCTCATCAATCACCACCCCCAAGTCCTTCTCTGCAGGGCTGCTTTGAATCTCTTCTCCGCCCAGCCTGTAGCTGTGCCTGGGGTTGTGCTGACCCAGGTGCAGGACTTTGCACTTGTCTTGGTTAAACTTCATGAGGTTGGCATTGGCCCACCTCACAAGTGTGTCAAGGTCCCTCTGGGTGGCATCCCTTCCCTCCATGATAAGACAAACATTGACAAATGGGTAAGTCCAGTGGTGGGCAGCCAGGATACCTGGGAGCCTGAGAGCTCGGCTTGCTGTGGGTGGAGAAGCAGCTGCTGAAGGGCAGAGGGGATCCACCGGCCATTTTCAGCTACCTAATGGGTGGTTTGAGAGTATGGAGCACAACTCTCCCTGGAGTTGTGAAATGAAGGACAAAGGGCAATAGGCACAAGCTGTCTCAAGGGATAATCCCAGTTGCATATAAGGCAAAACACTTTCACCATGAGGGTGAAGCCCTGAGTCACGTATTGCATGTGTCATAGCTCTGATGTTGACTGGCCTGGAGCAGGGGACTGGACTGGATACCTCCAGAGGTTCTTGCCAACCCAGAATTACTCTGAAATGGGATTAATCCAAATCCAAACACTTCTCAGCTGAGACTGTATCTGATAAACTGAAGAAGAGCAGCACCAGAAGCAAAGGCTGGCTTGTGTCTGGATGCTGACCACTGACACCAGGTTGTGGTCAGCAGACCTGCTCCCCAGCCAGCCAGTCCACAGCCTGTGTCCTTTCAAGGTGTTATTCTGTCCCAGATGCATGACTTTCCCTTTGTTCTTTATCAAAGGGCTTTGGCCCTTTGATAAAAGCTTAAGAAAGCCTTATTTTAGGGTGAAGTACAACAGAATCTTATCAAAACCTCAGACTTTGCCTTAAATTTTACGGCTGAATGATGACAGCATAGTGTTAATGCCCTTTATTTCCTGGGCTGATTTATTTTACTGGAACTAATACAGCACGTCTCTAAAGGAGACCTGTGCAGAACAGGCTGGAAAAGTGAGTTCTGGTGGGCTTGTGTAGTTTTTACCCATTAATGTCTCACCTGTGAAGACAGGAGGTCATCTCTTCAAGGTTTGCTTCATATTGAAAATCTAATAGCAAGAAATGGGCAAAAGGGATTCTTGGCAAATACATATTTTCAGTTGCTAGTGTCACATAGTTACATATCCCAAACCAAGCCCTTGCTTAGTTTTTTTTTCACTGCATGCAGTAAGTAATTGGGACATCTCATTAGCAGATTAATGTTTTAGGCCTGTTGTAACACCTGACTTAATTGGGTAGTGATGGGACAGGGGATGACTGAGCACAAAGGTTGCAATCCGCACAAAACACTGTGTTTGCATTCTTGTGACACTCAACCTTCATTTTTTGCAGCTTTTTATTTGGTCATCTGCCAATCTTATGGAGAATGCTGAGGAAAGGGGAGTTTATGCATGATTTCTTCCTGCAGTGGTAAGTTGAGATTCATCAACAACGTCAAATGGAGTAGCCCTGTAGCACAAATTGGGAAATCAAGGCAGAGAGGCCCTGAATTACATGTTTAGCATTATTCAGAAGGTCGGTAGAGGAGCTAGAGAAGGTTCATTGATCTTTTTCTCAGTGGCTTTATGTGCTGGAGACTGCAGTGGTTCCCAGTACATGCTGCTTGGTCCTTTGAGGTTATTAGTTCTGAACTGCTGTGTGTTGGTGGTTTGTACCATAATTCTCTCTCTCTTTTTTTTTTTTTTTTTTTTTTTTTTTGTTGTTGTTTTTTGTTTTTTTCTCCCCTTCTCTTCTTGTAGGGCAGAGAAATATGGACCTGTTGTACGGCTTAATGCCTTTCACAGAGTCTCAGTAATGGTTCTGAGTCCTGAAGGAGTGAAGGTACTGCAAAATAAACCTGGATCGACAGTGAGGATCAGTCTGTCCCTCCAGAAAGAGAGAGGTGGTGCCTGACATTCAGGGCAGTATGGTGCAGCCAGTCTGATCCTGCAGAGGGCAGCTCTGCCTGGGTTGGGAGTATGAAATGCTCTGTTCTCCAGGCTGTCATGATTTAGTTTCTTTCTCACTTGGTTGATTTACTTTGTTACATTTATTTAAGCAGCAGATAGAGCAAGCATCCACCGTTTCTGAAAAGTAGACTCTCTGCAAGAGCTTAGTATCTCAAATTAGCAAGGCACTGGGACTGAATTTCTTCCTCTAAATCTTTGCAGTAACCACAGAGTGAGATTTTGGGTCATTGGGCAAAAAGTGCTAGAGGCATGCTAAACAAGCCAGTGCACAGGCACTGGGAAATCAGGGCACACCAAATAATTCATCTAGTCTTCAGCCTATTGCTACAGGAGAAAAAGAATGAACGTGTGAGTGGCTTTTTATGTTTTGTTTGGGAAATGGATCACACTCGGTATTCACTGACCTGAGATTTGATTTTAGGAGTTCTTGATGTCACCACAGTACCCAAAGGATCGCTTTGTGTACGGTCGTATGTTCAACATATTTGGTGAGAGGTAGGTGAAACCCATCTGTAGCCATAGTGATCTGAAAACTGCAAGATTAATAGAGTCACAGGCATGACACTTCTTTTGACTTGGACCATTTATCTTTGTGGGGATGACTAATTCCAGACATATGTAAGAGCATGTACCTATTAAATTATGTGCTAAGTCCTATGTCTTCCCAGGCAGGGAGGAGGTTATGTTGGATTTCTTTTACCTTGGTCATACTTTTTTTTTTTCACCTGTGGGTGTTCAGTTTGTCTCAGAACAGTTAGCTGAAGACCATCATCAAACTTCTCACTTAAATTTTAGAGCACTGATTTATTCCTTAATGCATGGGGGTTTCCAGCTCCTAAGTCCAATACAAAAAAGGGGATTTTCTCTTAGCCTGAAGCTTTTAAAAAGATTAATAATCTGGTCATTACATTAATTATTTGCATAGCAATTGTAATGAACCAGCATCTTTTTGGACTCAGCAGTTCACACCTACCAGGCAAAACGTATCTGCAGTTTAGTCGTTGTCCACAGTGATGCAATGACTGTACTTAGAGCAGCACAGTGCTCCCTACATGTGGGAAAAATACAAGAAAGTAGATGTGGAAGACTTGTCTTGTGACTGGGTTTGGCCGGCTCCGTTGATGAAAACTGTTCCCGTCCTTGTTTTCCTAAATGCTAGGTTCCTAGGGAATGGCTTGGTAACTGTTTGCGACCATGAGCATTGGCACAAGCAGCGGAAGATAATGGATCCAGCTTTCAGCCGAACGTAAGGCAATTATCTCTGGGATGATCTAGCTGTAATTTCTACTGTATTTTCATGATTCTGTCCATCGTTGATCCACTATTTGATATTTAGAAAGAGAAAAAAAACCCAACAAAAACATTAGTGCTAAAATCACATTTTACTTGGAGTCCAACGCACCATTTCCAAGACTAGTGTAATGTGAGCAGACTTCCCGTGGGGTGGTGGCACCCATATAAGCTCAGTGATGGCAGAAAGATCCCAGGCTCGTGTGTTAAGGAGTGCGGTGATGGCTGCTTTATCCAGTCAGAAAACAGACTTCAGAGTCTTATCATTCACCTAATTGATAAGCAGGGGATTGTTCTGGTTGGTTTGTTTGTTGCTTTGTGTTTAGGGTCTGAAGATAAAGTCCATTTGCTTTGGCATGCACAGGCCAAAGCTCTTTGCCATGACAGCTGTTGTTTACATGGCAAGGTGGAGCAGGGCTGCTGTAAGAAGAATTTAACTAATTTTATCTGTTCACTTTTTAAATTCAGGCAATTTTATTATTATTGTTAATGATAATAGTATCTTTGCAATTTTCTATGGCAAATAATGAAGATAATTTTGCCTGAGCAAAGATGTCCTCTCCAGAGCCCCCATCACACATTTTTATTGATTGTTCAGCTACCTGATGGGTCTGATGGAAACTTTTAATGAAAAAGCAGAGGAGCTGATGGAGAAGCTAGAGGAAAAGGCAGATGGAAAGAAAGAGTTTAGCATGCTGACGATGATGAACCGGGTGACTATGGATATCATTGCAAAGGTACCAGCTGTCCGCTTTCTTGTTTCCTCTGCAACTGGCAGGAAGATGCAGAAGTAATGGGTAGTAGCAGCAGGACAGGGTTAGGAGCTGGAGCCAGGGAGCAAGACCTTTATCCAGCAGTGCTAGAAGAACTGAAGGACTAATTGTATCATAGAATCAGCTAAGTTGGAAAAAACCATTACCCCAGAACTGCCAAGGCCACCACTAAACCATGTCCCTAAGAGTCTCATCTAGATGGGTCTGGAACACTTCTAGGGACAGTGATTCCACCACTTCCCTGGGAAGCGTGTTCCAATGCTTGGCAAACCTTTAGGTGATGAATTTTTTCCTAATATCCAGTCTAAGCCTCTCAATGCGCAGCTTGAGGCTGTTTCCTCTTGTTCTATCACTGTCACTTCGTTTTGGGCTGACTTATAGGAAGGGACAGTTAGGGAAGGGACTGCACAGCCTAGGTGTGGCCTGCAGGGCAGGGACCATTTGCAAAAGCCCTTACAGCCTCATACCTCACATCACTGTGTGCCAGAAGGGGCACACTAGTGCTCATTCGTGTATGGATGTTGTATTATTGCCATTATATGTCAGCATGAAGTCTGCCTTACACTGCCTTTTACCTTCTCTGTGCAAAACAGTTTGGATGAATGGAGAGTAATAGTAAATTATTAATCCTCCCAAATAAGGAGGAAGCATAATGTAGATACTACCCTTCCCTTGCAGCCTCCTGCAAGTCAGGATCTAGTCTGAGGTACTTTTGGGGGAAAAGACAGTGGGGTGAGGCAGTCCTGTGCTTTCACCTCAGCCCCAGGGAGCCAGGAGAATGCAACGAGTTGCCTTTTTCTCTCTCACTCCTCAGGTAGCCTTTGGCTTGGAATTAAATGCACTGAGTGATGACCAGACACCTTTCCCGCATGCTGTGACTATGGTTTTGTTGGGAATGACCAAGATGCGTATCCCCTTCTTGCGGGTCTGTACACTCCTCACTTCAGTCCTCCCTTCTTGTGTCCACATGGAGCCTCTGCTCCTGCATGAGTTAGTGGGCTGGAGCTGTGCAAGGCCCATATACAATGGGGAAAGACATCAGTATTTCTTCCCCTCCAATGTGCATCAAGGTAAAATTCAGTCATGCTTTATAGCAGTTGCAAAATTAACATTTAATGCTTCCTTTCTGCCTTCTCTCCCCCTGTATATGTCATTATCTCATATGGTTTTATACTTTCACACCCTTCACTACAAAAATCGTGGGTTTTGCCATTTGTCCAAGAAGGATGGCCACCATCGCTCAAGGTGGAAGAAATCTGAACATTCTTATGATGAAAAATTCGTATTTTTGACCTAATTTCATATACTAGGAAATTATGGAAGTCATATGAAATATTAAAGTTGAAAATCATTCCAGTTTCTCACGAAAACTGTAGTTCAGGCTTTTAGAGCTCCTGATTCCCTTTTGGGCCCAGAGGTAAGATTCTGTATTGCGTGCTGCAGTTTCTTTCAATGGAGCGAGAGGTGAGGAATTTTGCTTACTGCGCCCAAAACATCAGCTCTGACAAAGCAGGACATCAGCATGCACTGATGGAAATATTTCTCATGTCAGCTGAAACCCTCCACCTTGGGGATGTTCATTTTGTTCTGTGGAGAGCAGATGTGTTTGCAACAAATGTTGCTTAGCAGAAAACAAGGTGCTTGCTTGAAAAATAACACTGGCAATATATTTTACCAGCAAAAGCAATAAAATGACTGAAGAAATTCTGTATTCAGTACATGCCAGGGAAACAGAAGCTGGTAAAGGAGGTCCAGGAGAGTGTGAGGCTGCTGCGGCGTGTGGGGAAGGAATGCCTTGACCAGAGGAGAGAGGCCATCCAGAGTGGGAAGGAAGACACGCTGGATATTCTTACGCAGATACTGAAAGGAAATGGTAGGGAAAATGTTGCTGTTTAAGTGAATTTCTGTGTTATGATTTGCCATGACATTTGGGGAGGATTGTTTTGGGTGTCTGAACTTTGGCCCTCCTTTAACTTCTTTTTCACATTGAAGATGGTGAGAGCTGCTTTGAAACTTCCCAGTTTCTTTGTATTGGATCAAATACCGGTTGCCTGTTCAGCATCCCCTTCCAGTGCCACTTCAGACAAAATGTGCGAAATGGGGCAGAGCAGTCTGGCTGTTCCAGCTGGGGCATGGGGGTGTTTTCTAACCTTGTTTGCTTTTCTCTCTTGTCAGCTTTGGAGGACACTAGAGATGATGAAAATATTCTGGATAACTTTATCACTTTCTTTGTTGCAGGTTGGTAGCTATTTTAATGCTTAGATATGTCATGTGGGCATCTGTACTCATTTTGGGGCTGTCTAGAGGGTCGTGATTAACATACTCTGTGTGATGCTGCTGTAACAAGGAGTCACTTGATTGTCAGATAGCAGTATTAAACTGGCATAGGACTAGCTGGGTGAGGTCTCAAGAGAACTCAGTTTCTCACAGGCAAATGTAATGCTATCCTCCTTCAGTCATATCAACACAGCAAATAATGCCAGGCCAGTGGTTTCCAGCCTGCAGTGCAGAGGGCAGCACTGCTTCCTGGGGTGCAGGGCTATTCCTTATGGGGTTCTGCCCTTCCTCCCAGATCCTGCTAAACCCCACTGAAAGCATCTTTAACATATTCCACGCGCCTTCACATCGCCTTACCCACACAATTAAACACAGTTCTTGCCGTAAGAGCATTAGTCAACGCTTAGTAGGAGAGGGCACTGTCAGGCCAGTCAGAAAAAGCAGGGGCTGAGGTGAACACATGAGATAAACAACTTGGAAAGGTCAATCTTACAAGTAAGTAGGATTTAGGTTCCTAAGAAGGGGAGGTCCATGCACCATTCTTCTGCATGAAAGACATTACTGCAACAAATACATCTTTGTAGAAGTCTGTTTTCTGTAACGTTTTAAAATAATACATATGCCTATCCATGAAGAAATGAAAACTATCCTCATAAAGCAGACATTTCAAGGAAGGACGGTTAGAACTCAGTTTTCCCTCAAAACCAGTAAATCCTTGCTTCTCAGCAGAATGGTGTGTCCCATGATATGACAGGGCAAATATTGAACCTCACTCACCCCTCTGTTAGAGAGCTCATAACCCGCAGGTGCCATATGCAGCAACTGAGTAGAGCAAGATGGGTCATATCTTTACAAACTATGTCTTGTTCTCGTCATTCCTGGAAGCCACTTATGTAAAATTTGTAACCTTTTTAGTATTTCCTTTGCTTTCTAGCATACTTGAAATAAAACATCTGGGGCCTGACATTTAAAATTTCCTGTTCCCAAATCACACTAGCAGACCATCTTTGTATCATATGATTTCATACTAACCTTGAAACCGATTTTTGGTGTCATTAGGTCATGAAACCACTGCCAATCAGTTGTCATTTACTGTCATGGCACTTGCTCAGCATCCGGAAATACTGGAAAGGTATGTGTGCTCCAGTTGGCAAACCCAGCTTCCTGTTAATTTCAAGGTGAACTTAATTGTAAGAATTATTAAAAAGCTAGGATAAATTCCCAATAAATTCTAGCCTCCCTTCTGAAATAAATAGTTTCATTGTTCCAGTATATCTAAAATTTAAAAAAAAGCTTAAGGTGAGTTACTTCATTTCCCTCTAGGTGGTGGGTTTTTTTATTTCTAAGCCTTTATACATGCTGGTCCTGAATCCTACCTGATTTGCCTGTACGCCCATTTCTGCTATCAGCCCATTGCTGATACGAGGCACAAGCTCAGGCAGGCTGCGTGGGAATCAGTAGGCATTTAGCCTAAGGATGGAAGTCAAAGTCCAGCTCAGTGTCTGGGAAATTAGAAATGTAATTTGTCAACTTGCCTAGCAAGAAATGGGCGTCTGCAGCTAACCATTTTTAATTGAACTGCAGGCTTCAGGCTGAAGTGGATGATGTTCTTGGTGCTAAGAGAGACCTTGACTATGAGGACCTTGGCAAACTCACCTACTTATCGCAGGTACTGCAGGAGTGAGGTAAAATACCAGTCGGAGCTGTTTGGTAGCACCTCTGCCATGTCATGGAGGAGCCCCACACTTTTAACATTTTAGGAACAATGTCTGATTTGATCCTGATGGCGTTTGTCCCCAGAGAGTTAGCAAGCAGGTACTGTGAGCCATTTGCAGCAGCCCAGCCTTGTTGGGAAGGATGCTCCTCAAATTGTTTTCCAAAATCCCACACAATTCCTTCACTGCTTTCCTTAATTATTAGCAAGCTGGGAGCTAGAGTGGAGTTGCTTAATCCCTACCTGTTTAAGCTGAAACCACAGCCATATTCTAAGAAGGGTTGGCAACTCTGAGCCCAACCTGTGTGTGAATCCCATGCACTTCCCAAACTCACAGCTCTATTTTTGTTTGATTATTGTTAAAGCATTTCCAGCTATGATCTCACCATGCACCATAAACTCAGTGGGATTTGAGGATGTCCAAAAATAGAGGCTAGTTTTTGTAATTCCAATTTTTTTATTATTCAGTCTTGAAACCCTCTTCAGTCACTTGGGGGGTTGGAGCATAGAATAAAAGAGAGTTTGGTCCTAAGAAAGAGGTTTTGTGTATAGAAATGCTAGTTGGTAATGAACTGTAAAGCTAGGGCTTGGCTACTCGCCAGTGTTTGTGTTGCGTATCCTTTTTAACAAGAAGGGGGATACCAATAGCCCTCAGGAGAGGCTGAACTGCAGCCGTGCCAGCTACTCTTCTGCTTAAATTTCCATGTGATTTTTAGTAGTGTGATATGATCACTTTTCCCTGAAACTGCCCTGCCAAGGGCTTATGATGCTGTTTTACTATTTCCCATATCTCATCCCACAAATCACTGTGCTTTGACGGTGGGTAGATTTCAAAGGTGTATTTCTCCTAAGGAAAAGGCATCTCTGTGTGATTACAGAAAGCAACAGGTTTCCCTTGGCTTCTCCAAACACCATCACAATTATACCACTCCAATTAGGATGAGGTATTTAAGCCTTTCAGTTTTAAGACAGCTCATATGACAGCCTCTCAAAGCAGATTATTTAATGAACAAGCTCGGATCTATACAACCAACATCACAGTCACCTTTGGTCAGAGCCAGTCCATCACTGAAGTATCAGAGACCATGGGACTCCTCTCCTGCCGCTCAGGCAATTCTGAATCCTTTTGTCCATGCTGCTTTTTCATTAGTCCACTTGTGCATACACACTGTTAATTGCATTTGCAGTGCTATGCTAATGTGTGCTGTTAATTAGGTTTCACTTTGATGAAAAAAGCCATTCTTACAGCTCACTGCCACCAAAAGAAATGGTCTCGCTCCATTTTTTTTAACTTGCTGTTCCCTGTTCATTCTCCTTTGCCAAGTTGCTTTTTGTCATTTTGGTGCTCTGACCTGGCTCAGCTCCCCAAGCAGCAGAAGAAAGACAAAGGCAGGAGCACAGTGCTGAGAGTGGGAAGGAGGTGGGAACAACCACTCATCCTCATGGCAGCCAGCACCGGGAATAGTTCATCAGGGGCATGAGACCCCACTCTCAGATAGTTTCTTGGATTTCGCTTCCCAGTGCTTTTTCACTTAGCTGTTGATGTGACTTGAGCTGTTAGATCAGTTCAGTGCATGGGATCTCTTGTGGTTCTGCTTCTTTTTTGCTCTGTATTTTACCAGTTGTAAGAAAGAACCAGGCCTGAAAGAGCTCACTTCGCCATATATTTTGCCCACAGGAGTCCAGGGCGGGTACATCAGCATCTATTCCACAAGCCAAAGCTCCCATTTAGCCAAAGTGGAAGACCATAGGGAAGTAACTTATTATATTTGTGCTTCCCACACTGTATTGACTAACTGGCCTTTTGTGCTTTTCGTTGATGCAGGTGCTGAAGGAATCGCTGCGGCTGTACCCACCTGCCCCGGGGACGCTGCGCTGGATAGACAAGGAGCATGTCATCAACGGCATCAGAATTCCTGCGAAAACAACGCTCTTTGTGAGTCCCATCCACCATCAGCAGCTTTTAGCAGCTGTATTTGATCCAACTGTGATGGATCTGCATATCAGACGGCAAAAACCCTCCCTGAGCATATTTCTACCGGCCTGTCTAAAATTTTGGCTGAAACTGGGGTATGAATTTGGATTGGTTTTGCCCGGGATGCGGAAGGAAGTTCTAATTTTATACCCGTGACAGCAAAAAGGCATTTTCAGTGTGCTGCTCCTGACTAACACAAATAAACTCTTTCTTGACAGTTCAACACTTACATAATGGGAAGGATGGAAAAGTATTTCAAGGATCCACTCACTTTCAATCCAGACCGATTTAGCAAAGATGCACCTAAGTGAGTTTCTTTTTACTCCCAGGTTATTAAATATGTAATAAGGAACCATTATAGGAAGAGATTTCAAGGGGGAGGGGGAGAGGAATAAAACTGTTTTTCCATAGTTATCCAAATTCAGATAGAGAGCAGTAACATGCAGCTTTTGTTCAGAAGGTCTTTAGACCACATGATACCTTACAAGAAAAGACCAATACTAATGTTATTGAATGTTTATATTGAGGTCAAAGCTTTGGGCCAATACCAGGTTGAGTATTTGTCTTAGTGCAGTACAAACATTTAATGTCTGGTAACCCTGGCTTCAGGATGCTTGAAGTGTCTCCACATTTGAGAGCGGACAAGAGGCTGAGGGACAGAAGGTGCTGTTCAACCATAGAGGACGGGCAGCCTAAGTCTAATAAGTAGTCAGGAGTGCAATAGGAGGGACCAGTGACCTAAACAGATGGTGCTGATCCCTGCATCTAGCTACTTCATGAGTTTTACTTCAGCTTAGAGTAAGTCTAGTCTGAACCAAATGCCCCCTTACTCGCATGGTTCAGAGCTGCCCAAAGGGGCAATAATTGGGTGGATCATTATGTCCTCATGACGGGCTGGAGAGCATTTGGAGTATGCTTGACATTCAGCTTTAAAATAAGGTTAGCATGTATCAAAACAGCTTTGGGAGCTGAGCCATGGAGATGACAAGGAAAACTCATTGCAGAGCTGTATTGCTGCTCTGAAGCAAAAACATGAGAATTTGGAGATTTTCTTAAGCCAGCTGGGTGAGCTGGTATTTAGACCATTTCCTTGCTGCTGTGATCAAATATTCACTTGTTGCATTACAACCAAGCTGTCGAGGTGACGGTTTTGAACGTTTTTCTTTGCAGGCCATATTACTGCTATTTTCCATTCTCTCTGGGACCCCGGTCCTGCATCGGGCAGGCGTTTGCACAGGTAAGCAAAGGCCTGAAATGGCACTTTATTAGTGAACACTGGGTCAGCTCAGGGTGTGCATGACTGTGGCTGGTGATGGGGAGACCAAAAGCAATACTGATAGTCACTGGCCCTCTTTCCTCTAGAGGGAAGATCCCCACCATGCCCATGACCAGGCATGTCTCTCAAATGCTATTAGACATACCCACACCAGACTGGTCCCTTGTCACTCTGCACACAGTAGACCAAGGTGTCTAGAGGGAAGACGGCAGCAGAGGGCTGTTCTCCTTCTGAACTGTCCTGGGTCACCCTGCTTGAATCCAACCCTCTTGATGGGAATTGCAGTCAACATCCCTTTGCCTGCCAAGGTCAGACATGCTGGCGTTATGCAAAGGCTTGGGGCCATCCCATGGGTGTAGCTGGCAGAGTCAAGGCAGGGAAAACATTAGCTGGCAGAAGGGCACAAGCCAGGACTGGCACTGAGGAGGTGAGGAGGGGACTGCTTCGATGGGAGGAACAACTTAATGAAGTAATGAGCATGGCACAGAGTGTTTCAGAAGGACAATAGGAGGCCAGCTCTTCAGGTCTGTGCTGTTGTATTCATCTAAGCACCCGTGCTCAAGATGTTCAAGTTAAAGTGCTTAGTTTTACACTCTGATTTCCAAAATGGGGTTAACACATAAACACAAGGACCGATCTCAGTGCCTATCAGGGCTCCTCAAATCCAGGAAGCCCCAGGCAACTCTTCTTCCTGCTCAAACTCAGCCAGCAGCATTAACAGAATAACATTTAACTTTTAAACCTCTGTACTGACAGAGCAGCATGACATAATACACTGACTGTAAGAAGTTGCAGTCCAAGCTGTATTTGCTGTCACTGATAATGAGTTTTCTTTTCTTCTTAACAGATGGAGGTAAAAGTGGTGATGGCAAAACTCCTGCAGAGGTTTGAATTTGAGCTGGTACCAGGGCAGAGTTTTAAACTCCTGGATGCTGGAACCTTGAGGCCACTAGATGGAGTAATGTGTAAATTAAAGCCAAGGAGTGTTGCAGGAAGCTGCCAAGAGTGACTACTCAGTGAGGGAAGCATGACGTGGTAGTGGTAGCATTTCTTCTAATTTTGAAGATCATCACACTAATCAAAGATTAGATTTTGCAGGCCCCTTTAGAGGGTTACTAGACTGAATTTTTTCCTAGCCTTCCTCATAATCTACTGAAGAAAAACTTAGGAGAGTCACTCTAGTGAGCATCTTCAATCAAAGCTTACCTGGAACTGCAAAGCTTGTTGTTTTCCTGGGTGACTATTTGGTTCTGACCAGATTTGGAAAAGAACATCCTTTCACTGGAGTATCCCTGGAGCTCCACACAAAACCTGCACTCAAATCCCAACTGATAGTTTCCACTAAGTTTACTTATGACACAACATGGTCTAAGTAAGCCCTTGTTGGGAGAGTTTCCTGCTTATGCAATGAAATCAGAACTTTGTAGAGCACAAGATTTGGGCTGAACTTGGGAAGAAAAGTTTTGAAATATTCTCTTGGTCAAAGCAATTTTCCCATCCCTACTCTAAATGAGAAGAACAATTAATAGGAGCAATCTGAAACAAAAACCAGAAACTGAGGGCACTTCTTTTGCCTGTTGCTATTGCCTCATTTTTATTCAGACTCTCCTACATTTCTTCCAGTATCATTCAAAGCATAGATTCCCAGTCCATGCTACAGAAGGGTGCTCTTCTGCTTCTTCCCCACAGCCTTTTCTCATTCTCATGAGATACTGTTCCTTTTGGGGGGGGTCTTGCTGAGTATGTTTTAACCCAGATCATTTTCCCTGTCTGACTTACCATGAAGCTACTTTGACCAGATACTTGGACCAGATAGTCTAGTAGGTACAGCAGCGGTGGCAGTAAGTGCCTCTAGCCAAATGCTGCTTAAAGTGATACTGCTGCTGGAGATGTCTGTAACTTGAGCCAGAGGCAGGAAAAGATCCTGCACCCCCTTCTGCCAATGTGCCAAAATTGCTCACTGCATATAGGTTTGCAGCCTGGTTCTGCTAGGGAAAATAACTATCATGTGAAATCATCACCTTCCAGAAATATGTGGATCCCTAATACAAGAGTTTGGGCCTCATCTATCATGAAATACAGGAAATTCAAGGCATTTGGTGCAGCCACTGTTATTTCTTACCTTTTTGAATTAAAAGGGCAAGAACACAGTTTGTACGCTGTCAAGTTTCCACATCAGGAGTGTAATGTCCACGAGCTTTCCCTGGCTCTGCTCCTGTTGTACACCATCTCATTCAGTGCAGCAGTAGGATAGGAGGCCAAAAAGGTTGATGTGGCTTTTGATAATACAAGCAATGTCATACAATGTACTAATATGGCTTATATCCTGATATACCAATAGCTGTATTGCTAGGGAAGGTTTAGTCCATCTATCAGTAGACCAGCTCTTCAAGCCCTTGTGCTGGATATGTTCTTGTATCCTCCTAGACATTCATAAAAAACTTATTCAAAGACCTGAGGACTTTCTTGCTGGATATGTGTTCCTGTGAGCTGATGTGATCAGGAGCAGGATACTAGATGGGTTAGTGGTGTAACAAAAGGATGCATTGCGAGAATATGTCAAAGGGAGGGAAGGATTTCAGTGGTGTGGGGAGCAGCGTATGCTGTGAACAGCACACACAGCTTGGTGGACATGCTGGCAAATTGTGCCATGGCAATGTGAGGCACAGCCATGCCAGCTCTCTGCTCTGCCCTATTAATGAATGAGTTGAAACGCATTACTTGCACAAACGTGTTGCCTTCTGCTACCCCTGCAATGGTGATGGGCATCTCCAAGGAGACCTTTAGGGAGGTGGTAGGACGTTAAAGTCCTGCAGCAAATTTTGTCAGACCTCATCTGCCTTAGACCAGAGTTTTCTGCCTGCTCACTGCTTACCCTCCTTGGTTGCTCTTCCTGTTCTCTGCAAGCCCAAACGCCATCCAGCTCTCCAGGGGAAGCTGACATAGGCCTCTCTCCTGTTCCTACAGCCAAAAGCTGTTCCCGTTGTTGCCTGTCAATGCTGATCGCCTTCCAGCAGATGGCAAGCTCTCATTATCGATGCACCCAACAGGAGCAGCGCTCTTCAGCATTGACAGCTCCTCCTCTTAGGAGACAAGCTGTCCTGGTTCCTCCAGGGCATCCTACCACAGGATGATGCCCTGTGGTGTTGTGCGAACACCCCGCAGTGTTCTCACGGCTTCATCCTGCACTCCCAGCCAGGAGGTGATCCCTGGTCTGGCAGAAAAAAACCCGAGTATGTTCAGGAAAGCTGCTCCCTGGTGCCCTGTGCCCAGCTGGGTCCTGGCACGGAGTTTGCGAAATGCTGTGGAGAAACCTCAGGCCAGAAGTGGCTAGGGAGACACAGCTGTGTCTGCCATGGGCTATAAAAAGACCTGGGGGCTTCAGCTTTCTCAGACACCACAGGAAAGGAGAGTTTTTCCTTATTCTGGGAAAGAGAAACATGTTACGTCACTTCTGGGGTAAGCAACTGTTACCTGCACCAAGAATTCTGCTAGGGATCATGGCTGGTAAGGCAAAAATGCAGACTAAGGTCTGTCTACCCAGTACTATTCCCAGCTGGCTGTAGGAAAGTATCACACCTGTAGCTGATTTTTCCCTTATCCTTTTCCTGGCTTTTGGGCAAAACAAAGGAAAACGTGGGAGTGGGTGGTGGGATGACTTTTCCTTGGGTACCACGCAGCGCAGCCCTGTGTGGCATGCCTGGAGGATGGAGGCAGAAAGGTTTCTCGGCCAACAGGGAATGGCAAAGCCACACTGTTCAGGGCAGCTCCTGGCCCTGCACCCTGCGGGCAAGAGCCTGCCCTCCACAGCTCCACACTGGCCCAGATGCACACGCTTGCAGATGGAGGCAGCCAGGAGCTCGGCTGGCAGGACTCAAGGCAAGCAGCTGCATTCACTAAAGGTGTAGGCACTTCTGGTGACACTTATTCCCAAGAGTCTGTCTTTATTACAGGTGTCTAAGTCTTCATCCTGTTCTGACAGATGGCTGGTGCAGGTTTCTTTGATCCCTCTCCCAGACCTATAAACTCTTTGCCTGTCTCTTCAGGACTTATGCCCAGGACTTTCATATATGAGCTCAGAGTGAAGACTTCCCTCCAGGATTTCTCCCAGCTTTTTTATGCTAACCCAAGAGCTTGTTTTTATCCCATTTAGATCAGTGTTATGGACAAGACATGAGGAAAAAGCTGACACCTTGACCTCTTGAGAGGGAGGGGACCAGCTAGGGGACATGCACCCAAGGAACCTCTGTCTCTCAGAAGGCAGTGAACCCCCTTACTGCTGGTGAGGGAGAAGGTAATACTTTTTCACCCCAGCTAGTCTGGAGCACAGGTGACTCCCTATTTTGCATCTACACCTCACGTACACTCACCTACATCCCCAGAGAGGACCCCAGCTATAGTGTCAGGACGAAAGCGGGAAAAAGATCCACAATTTTCCATGAGAGGAATCTCATCCTAACCCTTGCAGGAAGCCAAGAGAATCTCAGAAGTGTGGGCTTCAATCACACTCATTGAAATTGTACCTCAGCCTGATATTTTCTGGATGGTGGACAGCCTTCTGCTCCATCTCTAGCCTCTGGAGGAATGAATGTACATAAGAAAGCATAAAATACTGTCCTTGCTGGAGCCAGGTATGCAGAGCCAGAACCAGGATATTTCAGGTTCATCAATCCAGCCATGGCTAGCTCCTAGTCACTTTCTTCACTGCACAAGCTTTAGAGCAGTGTACTCTGTGTGGCACATTTAATCACAGGATGTTCAAAAAATCGGGGGTTCCTAATGCAAGCGTGCAAGTTAACCATATATGTATTTGCTCTTGGTGTGGTTATATGATGAGAGCTGTAGCAGGAGGCCTTCCCCGGATCTAAGCAATGTCTGCTATTGGGACGACACAGTCACAAAGCAGGTCTCCACAACACAACCCATCTCCTCCACACAGAGCTCATATGCCAGCAAAGGCAATAATGTCAGGCAGAGTCTTCCTTCTGCTGTGTCACAAGAAAGGGATGGGGTGGGGTGGCACGGCATGGACTGGCTCAGGCAGAGCTGTTGTGCCTCTTCTCAATTTTCACACAAATTGCAGTATCTCCTGGACTTAGAGACAAAAGAAGCCCTTGCAGATGAGAAATAACATTTCCTCACTGAGGCAGTGAGAATGCCTGTCTCTGGTGCAGTCAGCAAAGGCCCACAGATCTGCTGAGAGTGATAGTGGCCTGGGGCTGCTCTAACAGTGTGGCTACTGGGAAGATCAAGTGCCAGTGACCTAGGAATGTGTCTGGCACTTTTAACTTTTCCAGTCTGTAACAGTGTGAAGCCTGCCCATCTTTAGAGCCAGTCTGTACTGGCTAACGTTGCTAGCAGGCTGTTTAGTTCCAATATTGAACTTCTGCTTCTCATCCTTCCCCTCCAGCTCTGTGCCCTTCTCTCAGCAATGCTGCTTTCCGCACATCTCTCTCTCTCTCTGGAAACATCATCACACTGATGTCTCCTGGTCCAGTTGTCTTTTCTCCTCTTTGGTCCATCTGTAGTGCTTCTGCTCTATAGTGCACCCACACTGAGCTCCAGCTGAAGGTCTTGCACTCTAACCCGTGCCACTGTCCCCACTGGACTGGTGCAGGATAAATTGTTCTTCTCGTACAGACCTATTGTAACAATATTAAAGAACTGCTTTCTTCTTTTCAAATGGACTTTATTTAATTAAGCCTGACTCTGAGCACATTTCCTCAGATCACAGCACTGTAAGCTACCAGCAGGCACTGGAGCACCTCCAGTGCCTGAGGCACCGGAGCACCTCCAGTGCCTGAGGCACCAGCAGCATCCAGTAAGAGATCATGCTGGAGCCACCCTGAGGATCCTAGCAGGGGATACTGGTGCCAAGCACTGGGAAGACTCCAGTTCTGTGGGGTCTTCAAGTGTGTCTGGTAAGGGTTGATCCTTGTCTCACACTCACCTTCCATCTTTTCCCTTGTTAACTTCTCTTCCCCTATTGTTTGTGCAATCCCTCCAAGGAATTAAAGGATGCTCAAATGACCACGTACTCCTCTGCTACATCCTTGGTGCAGCGTTTTGCCATGTTTCCCATTTAAGGCAACAGCTCTAAAAGTGAGGCCACCTCTTGAGCCATTGTCTCTAAGAAGCCTTGCACAGCAGAGCCATGATCTTTGCAGGAATCCTCA